GGGGGAGGGGCGCGGAGCCGCTGCCTTCCCGACGCCGGGCTGCTCCCGGGGTTCCGTCCCTCGGGCTGCTGCTTTCGGGGACTCGTTTCCCGGAGGCTCCGTTCTAGGGGCCCCCGGCTCTCGGCCGCCCTTTGCCGGGGCTCCCTTCCTAGAAGGGCCGCTTCCTGGGAGCTCCCTCCCCCGGCGGGCTCCCTTTTCACGGGGCTGCGTCCTGCCCTGCGTGGCGCGTTCGGGCTTCCCTTCCCGGGGGCGCCTCCTTCTAGCGGCGCCCTTTTCCAGGCTGCTCTTTTCCGGGCTCCCTTTCTAGGGGCTGGTCCTGGGGGTTCCATTCCCCGCTCCCTTCTCCGAGCCCAGGCCGTCCTCCCCAAACCGCGGCCGCCTGGAGTTCCTCAGGGAGTGTCGCTCCCAGGCCCCGCCCGAGGGCCGCGGCCCCCCACTCCAGCACCCCTGTTGTGGCTGCCCTCACCCTGCGCCCTCTGCAGCCTGGCCGTGGGCGCCCTGGAGGCGGCCAGGAGCTACCGTCCCGGACGTGCTGTCGGAAGGCGGGGCACTCAGATCCCCAGATCCGGGCCAGGTCGGTTTGCAGAGCCCCAGCAGGCTTACTTAGCTTGGGTGTGTCCGGATCCGGGAAAAGTAACTGCGAGCAACGAGGAAGATTCTCACTGGGAGCCATCGATCTGGGGTTTGGCTCACCTTCCTGCAGGTGAGCTGGGCCCAGGTGGGGACTTCTGCCCCCCCCCCCCCCACGTAGGCGGCTGCTGGGCAGAGAAGGTGACTGCTGGGTGCTGCTGAAGGTTCTTTGCGCTTGTCTGGTTGGCCCCAGGCCCCAGTGATGGGTGCAGCTTCCTTTCTGCAAGCCCTGCCCCGGGTCTCATCTCACCTTGTCACCGGAACAGGTGCAGTAGCTGCTTACAGCACCTGGGCTGCTGTTGAGACCCCAAGGTTCACATTTTACTAGTTGTACTTACACGTTTTCTGTTTAAAATATTTCTGTATAAAACTTACACGCTTTTCGCATTTATACGTTGCATTCTTTTGGTCGATACATCTTGCTGGCTTTCCAGATTCTTCTTACATTACTTAATGGGACAGTAAATGCTCTGGGGCCCTTTTTTCAGTTTATGTCTGTTCCATGAGAAGGGGTGTGTCAGATGTACACCTGCCCACCCCAGGTCAGCACAGCGCGCACACACTCAGTGTCTGGGGGTCCAGGCTGCAAACCTGGGTCCTTCCCATGCATGTCCAGTTGTGTTTCTGCGGGGCCATTGCCTGGCCCCTGGATCTTTTTAATGTCCATAAAAACCCTCTTCTCTTCTCTTTTTGTGAACTTATTCTGCAGTTCTTTTACTGACTAGGAATGGATAGGGCAACATCTGTGACTCCTAGGCTGTATTGGTGACCCTAAATGGTGCTCACAGGACCCTAAGTGCTCTGTCTTTAAGTAGGACATGGCAGGGGCCTGCCGGTGCAGTAGCACCCACAGGGCCTACATGGGAGAGGCCCTGGCTCGCATCTGGAGCCCTCCCTGGGCGAGCTCACGTGGGTCTGCGGCTGGAATGGGGCGTGACATTGAGGTGCCTCCCTGGGTGAGCACACGTGCCGGTGGCTGGAATGGGGCGTGACAATGCCGTTGAGGTGCCTCTCTGTCTTAGGCCATGGAAAAAATAAATGCCCTTTTTGGAAAGGAAAGGAAGTATACTTGAGAGTTTAAAATAGGGTTTTCAGGGAAGTCCTTTACAAGCCACGCTGAGGTCAGGTCCTCCCGCAGGCGGTGCGACCGTCCTGTGAGCCGACATGTGGCTGACCTTAAGCTCCCCACTAGGTGGCCTCGTGACATCCATTCTTCAAGGGGCACAGATGACGTGTCTCTGAGGGCTCTCTCTTGAAATGGCACACCCTACTCTTGCTGGCGCTAATCAGCCTGGCCTGGCAACCAGGTTTCACCGGTCAGCGTGAGTGTGCGTCCACACAGAGCAGGCAGATTCTGGGACTGGGGGCCAGGGCCGGGCAGTGCGGGCTGGGCCAGTGTGGCGAGCAGGAGTTCTCGGCACAGCACCCGGTGCTGCTGGGCGGGCTGTCCCGGGTGGATGCCCGCCCGCGTGCTGCTGAGCCTTACACTGAGCACTGTGGGCATAGGTGTCAGCTCTGCCTCGCTGCCTGGCCGGCTGCAGCGGGCGCCTCTCATTCTGCCCCACCCCTTTACGTGTCTCCTTCTTCAGTCTAGGTTCTAGCCTCGAGAGCTGCCTTGTCTCTGCCTACTAGTGTGTCCGTGTGCGTCCTAGGTAACGCCTTGCTGGGGGTTCAGCCTCTGCCCGTGCAGACGCCTGCCTTGTTCATCCAGGGCACTGGGTCGTCGGGAAAGTCGTGACGCATTTTTGAGTAGGGAACAGAAAAACCTATCACGACTTTCCTGGTGGCCTGACTTCCAGACAGTGGGTCCTGTGCGCTCTCGTGAGCGTGCATGCCTCTTTCTTGTCTCAGGTCTGCCCAGAGCAAGGAAGAGGAGCCGCTCGAGTCTGGATGGCAGGGCACGGGCAGATGCTTACAGCACCCTAGATGTCCGGGTACGTCACCGTTTTGTGATTTCCCATCCTGATGTTTATCAGCATTCAGCTGCAGACTGGCATCAGAAAGCTGGCGTCCAGAGGGTTCTGGGGAGCAAGCAGACTGGCAGGCCCTGACGCCGCCGCAGACCGCGTTTCTGGACTGCCGGGGCGTGGGCCGGGCGGCCCCATGCTCTGCAGTCGGGAGTCCATGGTGCTTTCTGGCCGCCTGAAGGTGGCCCCTCAGATGGAATTGGTTCTCGTCTTTGGCACACGGTAAATCTGGTGGATGATGTGAGGCTAAGTTTTCTTTTTTTAAAAAATTGCCTTTAAATTCAGGTATAATCCTAATCACAAGTCTTTTTTTTTTTTCCCAAGAGTAAGTAGAATTTTCATTATCATTGACTGTAAAAACACACGTTTCCTTCGCTGTCTAGTCTCTGGGTGGTTTTCGGCCTCCTTTGAAATTCTCCTGCATGCTGACCGGACATTCGTACTCCACCATGTGGCCAGAGCCACTCTCCAGACCCCCTTAGAGCCCTACGAGCCCCGTGTGCCTGCTAGCCATGCTCCCGAACCTGCGCCCACTCCTCGGGTGGGGGCCGGCGTCTCCGGCAGTCCGGGTCACGGAGCCTCCCTTCCTCTGTTCCTCCATCCCTGAGACGACGTGGCAGTCTTGTTGCTACCAGGTGCCGTGAGCGGCACGGACACTGCGTGTGATGGTGATCTTGGTGCAGGGAGCGCTCCGGAGGTTGGCTGGTCCAGGAAGGACAGAATTTTCTTCAGACCCGTGGCAGTTTTCCAGCGTGGCTCTGTCGCCCTCCGCTCTGCCCTCAGTACGGTGCACCGAGGTTGGCTGCGTGTAACGGTCGGTCTCTTTTCCAGCTGGACGTGCATCTGTGCTGAGCGGGTGCCCCGTAGCAGGGCCTCAAGGGCCGCGCCGTCCTCGCAGGGATCATGACGGCGCTGGGACGGAGCCGCTGGGTGTTGCTTCCACTGCTGCTCTGGGCCGCAGACGCCGCGGAGCACGAGGCGGTGGCGAAGCAGGTCATCCAGCTGCACCGAGGGCGGGGGGCCACCGCCGCCCAGAGGAGGCAGTGGGTGCTGGACCACTGCAGGAAGCTCTCGGGGCTGCTGCGCCAGAAGAGCGTGGTTCTGAACAAGCTGAAGGGTGCCATCAGAGCGGTGGAGAGAGACGCTAGCCTGTCGGATGAAGAGAAGCTGTTCCAGGTGCACACGTTTGAAATTTTCCAGAAGGAGCTGAATGAGAGTGAGAATTCCGTCTTCCAGGCCATCCACGGCCTGCAGAGGGCCCTGCAGGGGGACTACAGGGACGTGGTGAACATGAAGGAGAGCAGCCGGCAGCGGCTGACAGCCTTGAGAGAGGCCGCCATAAAGGTCAGTCCCCCAGGGCATGTGGGGGCAGGTCTGAGGACAGCCGCAGGAGGGAGCCGCTGTCCTAGGCATGCTGGCCCGGTCATTTCTCCCAGGAGGGGCCCATCCTCAGTGCTTCTCCCGTGGGAACCCACAGGAAACCCTGGCGCTCGCTCACTCTGCTTAGACAGGCCGGGCCCGCCCTGCGTGGGCAGTTAGGGCCGTCCGGTGACGTTTCTAACGGGGACACCCTCAGCGTGAAGCATGGTCTCCGCTAATGTCTATACCAGGGCAGAAGTGTTGAGTCAGCTTTAAACACGCGTGCACGTTCAGATTAGCTGGCTTATGTTTGTGTCTGTTACTGGCCATTTTTTTCAAGTTCCTTTCTTTTCCTTGTGAGAGAGAGACACACACACTCCTGCAGGGTCCCCAGGCTGCAGTCCACACCCAGTCTCCTGCAGGGTCCCCAGGCTGCAGTCCACACCCAGTCCCAGCAGGGTCCCCAGGCTGCAGTCCACACCCCGTCTCCTGCAGGGGGCCCAGGCTGCAGTCCACACCCAGTCTCCTGCAGGGTCCCCAGGCTGCAGTCCACACCCAGTCCCAGCTGGCCTGGCTCGGGAGGTACGTGTGTCCTTAGTGTGCCTGGGGAGGTTCTGTGTCACCAGCCAGAACCTGTCCCATCTGGGTCCAGGTGTGTCCCGTACCCCAGACCCTCAGTGAGGGCTCTGACCAAATGCGCTTGTGGGACGGTGAGAAGAGGCTCCTCTGTGCCCCGGGAGGTCCCGTGCCTTGTGTCTCCAGCGCCCACTTTCCGAGCCCGTCTATGTGCCAGGCACCGTGCCGAGCCATCCAGTTAAGGGGACTGCCTTGTCGTCGTAGAAAGCCTTGGCATGGTCTGCACAGCCCAGCAAGGAGGGTGGCTTAGGCCCGCTAGGGCTTCTGAGCGGCACGGTGCGAGTAGCGTGCGTTGTCACAGTGGAGCGGGGGCTCGCGTGCATTAGCCTTGGCCTCACACTGCCAAGACTCTTCAGGCCGTGTGCCCGCCTGGTCTCAGAGGCCTGGAGGGGTCAGTGCTGGTCCACTCCCGTGGATGTGAATCAGCACTTTTCTCTTTCAGATCTTTGCCATCGAACACGTGCGCTCCCCAGAGAGGAAGAGACAGGCAGTGAGAGATCTCCCCATGGGGTACAGCCATGCCACAGTGCCTTCTCCATCTCCTCCTGGGATTTCAGGGACACATGCACATGCTTGGAATGACTTTTCTAGTCGCCTGGCTTGGGATTTGAACCATGGAGTCCGCTGTGTGGGACCCAGCCACCTTAGCCTCCACAACACCTGCTGGTCCCATGACTGCATATTCTGTAGTAGGGTGTTGATTGGACGTGACGGGCCTAGGACAGCTTGTAGCCCTGTTCCACTGTCACCCGGCACTCTGCTGTCAGTGCTTTCCAGGGGTACACGCCTTCAGAAGCTCCCCATAACTGGGATGTGCGTGTATTTTAGACACGTTGAGAGAGTAGCTCAATGCTTATGTGTCACAGCTGTCTTTAAAGCATGACCAGATGCATGTAGCTCACAGACCCATGCCCTGAACGTGGTCGGCGTTCAGCAAGTGGATTGTGTGTGAACTGTCACGGTCAGAAATGACAGACATGGGACCAGCAGTTGGCGTAATGCCTATGTCGCTGGACTCCCACGTAGTCGACCGCAGTTCGCATCCTGGACCTGGTGGCTTAAATTCACGCTGGGCGCGTGTGCGTGCGTGCCCAAGATCCCGAGAGGAGAATGGAGGAGAAGGGA